GAAAATTCGATTGGCATGTTAAATTTTTTAAATTTTAACAAATAAATAAAAACTATTGGTTGTTTTTAAAAAAAAACGCATAATTTATGATTATTTCGCATAATTTTGAGAGTATTCGCATCAGGGCATAATTTGAACCAATCGCATCGCATAATTTGCATTTTATTTCGCATCGCACTGAGGTCCCTAGTGCTAAGATAGGTTGATCTAGTTTATCCAATTGAAGGCGGCGTTCAATCATAACTGGGGGGGAGAAACCAAGTTAAATTCAATTCAGCAAATCCACCAATATGTACCAATATATACATAAATCTGTGGAACAATTCTATATAAGTCTTTAAATTTAATTATGGATTAATTTTTGTGAACTTAAATACGTATAGGGTAAAGCACTTCGGATAATCTGTAAGATTGGTCTTTTATTTAGAACCTTAAGTTGAAAGCTTCGCGATATTTTAATTCGTAGAAATTTGAATTTAATATATTAGTTAATTTAAGCTTATAAAAACCAAATAACAAATGAATACTATATATAAAAAATGAAACGAAAAGCCAACTTCAAGGGCCGCATTCTTTTCAAATTTATTACTTATCTCATTTTAAATATAAAAATAAGAAAGTACTTGTACTATTAGACTATAGTACTTTATGTCTCGTGAACATGGTTTCTTTTTAAGAAACCCCTGAAAACGGCACTCGAAAAAGGCCTACCGTTGCAATTAACTATGAAAAATGAGTCCATCATATGCATGTCGATCAAGTAAAAATATACCCTTGTGATCTGCGTGACAAATTGGGTGACTGGTAATATAATATGGCATGTACATACGTACATACGTACGCGATCAGATAAATAGCAGATAGGTGAAGCCACTCCAGGATTTCTTAACTTCAAAAATATCAGAATAACATTACATAGATCTAATTAAATACCTTTTCAGGTTCCTGCTCAGACTGATCAAGGTCTGTTTATTTGTTATAATGAATTTTTACCAATTTTATGAGATCGAAGATTGGACATGTACGAATATTGTAGAGTATTATCATACGAACTCAGGGTATAAAATTTGGGTAAAGGTGCTCGACAAAATAAAGAAGGATCTTGAAGTTATAGCATCCCCCGATTCAAACTTTGACACAAGATGCAAAATAAAAGCTTGGAAAATTATAAACAATTGGAAGATATAAGAATATTGAATATTGAGTAATTTTGGAAAAACTAAATATACTAGTCTACACTCAAGAATTAATTGAGCGCAAGTTGTGACTGCTAGTCTACAGTGATGAACTGCTAGTTCAACGCTAAAGCGCAAGCTGTGACTGCTAGTCTACAGTGATGAACTGCTAGTTTGACACTAAAGCACAAGCTGTGATTGCTAGTCTACAGTGATGAACTGCTAGTTCGACGCTTTTTATTTTATACAAAGCTATTTTATAGGCATATTTTATTTCAGGTTTGGACTACCTCAATGAATAAGGAAAATCATCAGTTTGAAATAAAATATCAGACAGTATTTTTTGGATTTGAATGAAAATTATAAATTTGTTTTGAATAATTTTAAAAATTTAAAGAAATAAAATTTTTTATTAAGTAGAACAGCAGGTGCTTGTGACTGGAAATGTTGTATCTGTTGATAATCATTGTAAAATCAAAAAACATTAGCAAGATAGTAGAGATGAAGTATCAAGTGAAAGCAATATAACTTCATTAACGTGAAGTAAAAAAGTAAGACCATTTACTAACTTAACATCCTGGAAAAAAAAGCTTATTAATTATTTGTGGAATTTCTTTGCAATTAAATAAAATTAAACATTTTGAAAAGTAATACAAGTTCTAATTGCAGCAGTGTGAATAAAACTTTAGATGTTTCGGTAAATATTTAATACCTTGAAGCATTTATTTATTAATATGACTAGTTATTAATAATACTATTTGGTATTATAGATTAGAAAGTGTGATGATAATGATAATCATAAAGAGATGTCTCTATTAGATTTCAAAAAATATAAAAAAACATATTCTGAAATGGATAATGTGAAAAGGTAGAAACTTACTACTAGAACAATTGTGAAAATGCCCTTTATAACTTTGGTTTACGCTGCAAAAATGAACAGTAAGTTGAAATTTAAAAAATTTGCCTTTTGAATTTATAAACTTCACAAATTATCCCCAAAAGTCTTGTTCATTCATTCATTTTAGATCCTTATGATGATACATACATAAAAGAAAATGTATTTACCAAAACTGAATTACAAGAAATTCAGAATTCAAAGCAAGCAAATGCTATCAATGCCTTCTAAATTGTTGAAATATCTAAACAAGTTCAATCTTGTAAGTTTCAAATATATATTTTTTTATGTTTATTTTATTTATTAAAATCAGTACATTGTTTCAATAGCAAACTACTTTGGAGTTTCGAAAGCAAGTATTTAAGCCTGATCAAATAGATAAGAATTTTAATAAATTAAGAGATTTTGATTGAGATTGGATATGCAATATAGTGTATAACCTGTATGTAATTCATATATAATTTGTTTTATTTGTTTCAAGAGTTTGATTTTAATTTTGATTTTCATTTTATAGATTACAAGAATATGAATCTAACTCTTTATCATCTAGCTACTTAGAGCTTTGGTATCTTATTCACGTTTAGAGTTTTACAGACAAAGTTTTTAATAGAATAGAAGAAATTGAAGTATATCAGCAAAATATATAAGCGTAAACTTATGAAAGTTATTACACCTCGAAATATTTCGAAAGAATTATAATTCAACGCGGAATATTTTGGAATTTTTAATTTCGAAATATTACAAAATTTATTTCGAAATATTGCACAATATCTTCAAAAAATTGCACAATATTTCAAAATAATTAAAATAAATTGCATTGAAAATTGCGAAACTATGTGCAATATTATACTATTAAAAGTAGCATAACGTGAAAATTAACAGTTAACAAGACACTCAGCTATGTACGTAATAACGATTATAAAATATTGCAAATTTAATTTATTAAACTTTTTATTTATTAAAATCTTTATTTAATATTTTTTTACAATATTACTCCCTTAGAATGAATCTAATTACGATTACAATTGCTAATCTACTAATCCTATTTCCTAACCGCTAACTTTACCCTAGCTTCAACCCATCCACTAACCCTAGCCTTAACAACGAATATGTACTAACGGACCCTAATCCTATCTAAATTACCAAAGTAATGAAATTCACACATGACAATGGACAGATCATACTTCACATATACTCCATTCACGAAGGTACCAAAACAACAGTGGTACTAGAATAGAGATTCCAGTGATGACAACACTAAAGCAACTAAAAAACAATAAAAGTAAATAAACATTAGTTAGTAAACGCGAAATAAATGAAATGAGGCAACGAATGACGAAACCAGCAATAACACAACAGAAGTTAGTAAGAAACAAAATAAATGAAATAACCCGAAATAAACGAAACGACGCAAACAAAAAAAAAAAAAGTAACGCCCATGAACAAGATCAGCAGTGACACAAAATAACTGTGAAAATAACGGCGACGCTGACACCAGTGTACGAACGAAGCATCAACATACGACGACTCCATTAACATTAATGACACCAATATATGACGACACCAGTATACGAACGAAAGCACCAACATATGACGACACCAATATACGATGATTCCTAATGGCACCAGCATACGAATGAAAGCACCAACATACGAAAGGAAGCACGACTGCAACTGAAATACCCAAAGACATCAACAGCAGCTATAAAAAAAATAGATTAGATTTATTAAAAAAAAGGATACGTATATATATATGTAGATCACAAAAATTTTCAAACATCACGTGACAAATATATCGAATAAAAATTCCAACTTAGATCCTGGGATGGCGACCCTGCTGCTGCTATGCGTTATACTAAAGCTCGTTTAACCAAATTCGGCACGTATCTGTTAGAAGATTTAGCCTTTGAAACCATAAAGTGGATTGACAACTATGATGAAACAGAAAAAGAGCCTAAAATATTGCCAGCTAACCTTAATCTATTGTTAAATGGCTCCAGTGGTATTGCGGTTGGTATGAGTACTAATATTCCCCCTCATAATTTAGGAGAAGTGGTTGATGTGGCGATTAATTTAATTCAGGAACCAGAAATTAGTTGGAGTTATGAAAAAATGATTAAATAGATTCCATTTGACAGATTAACTGATATTAAAAAAATCGATAAATGTGGAATTGGGTCTGTATATTCGGAAACCTGGTTGGATGGCATACGAAAAGTTGATGATTATAATTACAGAATTATATAAGAGCGCATAAACCAACCATCCAGCATCGTTGCACTCAAGACATTGACCAGTTCAAAGGAAAACAATTTTGATTTTTTAAAAGAAGTAAGTTAATTTATTGCTTTTATAATTTATAAATTAATTAATAATATATATATTGTTGAACTAATTCATTGTTTAAACCTTAAGTTTAAAAGTCTTATGAAATGTACATTAAATTATGAGATGCTCGCAATATATGGAATAACTCAAAATATAAATACAAATAAATACTTGATGGTATTTCAGTATGCTAATGATGGGAATCTTCATAGATATTTAAGAAAAAAATTTAATATACTTACATGGCAGACCAAATTGCAGATACTTCAAGATATTGCTGATAAGTTAGAAAGTATTCACTGTTATGTATACATTCATGCTGATTTTCATAGTGGTAACATTTTGCAAGACCAATGATATTATATCGCAGATCTAAAATTGTCTAAAAAGAAAGATGATGACACTCCAGAAAGCGAAATTTATAGTGTAATGCCTTATGTTGCTCCGGAAGTTTTAGCAGGCAAACAGCAGTTTACACAGAAGGCAGACAATTATGGGTTTGGTATTATTATGACTGAAATATCGACTGGACAAAGACCCTTTGATGGATGTGAATTTAATTTAAAACTTGCAGTAGAAATTTGCAAAGAATCAAGACCAAAGTTTGCACCTAGAACTCCTAAATGCTATATTGAATTGGCTGAGAATTGCATGAATTCCGATCCACAAAAACGGCCTCACACTTTGGATATTTATAAAGCAATGGATAATTGGCTTAATAAGATAGCTAGTTCAAATGATAATGAAATTAAAAAGCAATTCTTCGATCTTAAAGCATCCTGATGAAATATACAGTAGCAAAATTATTAGTACAAAATTAATTTCAAAGGCGATTAATGGTATTTATTTTCAGCTAGTATATCTTTATTAATTTATTAAAAAATAACTAGCACCCGACCCATGGCTCCGCCACGGTTTTGTAAAAATTTTAAGAGCTTGATCAGGAATCCGTAATTTTCATTAATCATGTAAATAATATTAATAGAACAGTTATATATAACTCTTTATCTAAATTAGGCTACCCTTAACTTGGTTATCTGGAAAGTAGTATCACCGCTATTAGAGATACAGTAAAACCTCCATAAGTGCACCCTCTCTAAATACAAGCTCAAGTTCTGGCCCAAATATATACATACCCCTATAAACGCACTTTCTCTTATTGATCTCTTAAGTGTATATTGTTAAAGCTTAAATAATGCAAATTAAATCAATGGCAATAAAAATTGAATAAATTATTAACATCGGTTAAGATTTTGTAATTACTGTATAGAACATACCTTCTATTCTTGTGGACATAGTATGTGAGTTGGTTTGCACTGTATGAGTGAATTATTGTAAAAATTCTGGCTCATTCCAGTGGTATACAGTGTATGGCTAAGGTTGGGTTAGCAAATTGAAATTGCATGTGGTTTTCCATTTTCTGGCCAAGATTATTAGTATGACGCTTCAAAATATTTAAAGGCACAAGACAATAACACCTAGAGTAACAGAAATATATATACAAAACTCTTGACAATTCATCAATGCGGAACCACCCAAGCAACGAGATTTGAAATGGCAAAACCAAAGAACAACCAACAACATAACAACGTGGTGCCACCAAGTGACGAAATCCATATTGACAAATGCACCTAAATGATAAGCACCCAATAATGCAATGACAAACCACTTCAAGCAACGAAATCTGCAAGCGCACCTAAAGAATGACAGCACTCTAAAGCGACTTGGCATCTCCAGTAATGACGATGCCTACAACAACGATTGAAGAATTACAATAATTACAATAACCTAAAAAAAAAAAATCATTATTTATATACCTGTTACATGGAATACCGGTATAAAAATTTCAAGCATCACCGTATACTGCCATAAAGCAGTATTTGAAAAATATAAACTCTTTCGGAATTAGGTTTGATATTAAATAAACCTACTTTCTAGTGCTAAGTAAACATTTTCTCCAAATTATGACGATTCCAACGGAGGTAAAAACATCAAAATTGGTCCAGTAGTTCGTCCGCAATGGCATCTCAAAGTTTGAGAACGTTTATTAAGCATCTAAAAATTTGTATAAGCAGACGTTTTCTAATTTTGAGAAGCCATTGCGGACGATCTACTGAACAAATTTTGACATTCTTACCAACATTGGAATCATTCTGATCTAGTGAACAAGTTTACCTAAAACCAGAAAGTAGGATTACTTTTGTTAATGGCGGGTGCCTAGTTACGGCAGTATGCGAATCATGCGAAATAATTTACAAACTGTAAAAATGTAATATTTTGCTTTTTATTTCGAAATATCTTACGAAATATCTTACTTAATATTTCGTAATTTTGATATTTCGCAATATTTCAAAATTTCTTACGTAATATTATGGCTTTTTTACGGTTCGTAAATTATTTCGAAATATTTCGCCCTATTAAATTTGCTGATGTAGTCAGGTAAAGAAGAAAACTTTGAGATTGGTTCTTTGCTTTTCATATCTAATTTTTTACCCAATTTTTATAACAAAGGAGAATCAAACAGCTTGTCATCATCATCAAGAAGGAATAATGACAGAACCATACCTTCAGTGGTAGATATTAAAAGAAAAATAATAGATAGAAAGGGTGATATGTTAATTCATAGAGTTACAATTGAATTTGAATGTGCAGAGACAGGTAGATGGTTTGAAGAACAGAATGGGACGAAGTTATTGTTAGAAAGAGGAATAAAGATGCCAAAAATATTGAAAGACATGTTTAATTAACTATGCATAACTTTTGACTATGATAAACAAAAAACTCACAAACTGGAAATAGTTAGTTTCTCCATGCTGGTATAATTTAATTTTTCACTTAGAACTTTATTTGCTTTACTTTGTTTTACTTATCTAGAATTTTTTTCTCTTTGTAGGGCTTATGATAACACTTTTATGTTTAGATTTACTAGCTAGATATATATGCCATATATCATATACAAAATCTCTCATTATTGTATCACATATAAAGGAATTCAGAAAAATGATGCTTCCAGCAATTGTTATGGCTTGGAAAGCCAAAGTAAGCTCTTATATACTATTTTTAGCATTTAATTTCTCACCTTACAAACATTATTCTTGTAAAAAATTGTTAAAAATATAGCAAATTTGATTGAACAACCTGATGACAGTGGTGAAAATGATTAGCTACAACATTTGCAAGATTCTTGTAATTTAACTCCACCTCTATTAGAAAAATAAGAAATAATAAAAGTATTATTATGTTCAAACACTCCAAAGTTATAAAAAAAAGTTAAAGAGATTCTACATGGTAATATCTTTATATCTTTCACACTTTATAAAAAATGATAAGCCTATATTTTTTGTATTTTACATTAGATAAGCTCAGAAAACTGCCAAAATTCAAATTGCTAGTGAGTAAAAAAAGCAAGAATGATAATGATATTCAAGACAATTTCATATGATTTAGCTATAGATTAATAAAACCTTTAGATATAATCATATTTTTGAATTCTAAAAGCTAATTCGATAATATATAGATTTCTCTAGTTGCTAAATCATTAGATTTTTTTTGAATATTTCGAAAGCATAGAAAATTTTTTTATGTGTCTAGTTAGAATCTTACTGTAGTATTTACAAAATAAAATGATAATTTTTTATAAATTCGTATAATATAATTATGATTGATTAATTATATAAATATATTGATATATATTTAATATTATTCATGTTAGTGTTTTGAACTAGACTAAACTAATGACCCCGGGAATAAAACTTAAAAACAATTAATAACCAGTTAACCTAAGAGATGTTTTATAGAATAGGTGGGCAAACTCCACAAACTCCACTACTTTGCTAAATATTTATTAATGATTACTAATTATTAGCGGAGTTTAATTTATATATTGCCCACCTATTCTATAAAACATCCAACCTGAGAAATCTAATTTGATAAGTTTTATCTATAATTGATTTTGTTAGCGCTATTAATATTGAACATAATTAATATATTTAGAAACTAAATCTCATAAGGTTAATATTAATATAAGATTCTCAGATTTTTACATTTTTTTTTTTATAATATATAATTTAATAGTTATTTTATCAATAATTAGATTTTTTATAGATGAAGTCCTAAGAGGACTTCTGAATATACTATAAAAGATGTTCGTTATGATAATTGATGTGATATCTATTAAGTTTACTAGTATTAAAATGGCAAAATTGTACGGTTACTAATGATGGGTGACACAACGATTTTGGCATGACACAATGGTTTCGTCAATAGTTTCGTCAGATGCAACTTTGATGATTGATGCATCTAATGACAATTGACGCAAATAATGACAATTGACGCAACTATTGATGCAATTATTATGGTTATGAGTTAGCTTCCTAAAACTAATTTTACTGAAATACTATTTCGCCAAAGTTATAATACTGACATCCCATATTACTTTATAGGCAGACATTTGTATAATTGGCTGTTTAAATCAATTTATTTTTACATTATTTATACAGCTTAAAGTACTTTTTTAAAAAAAGAAAACTACAGAGAATAAACAAAAAAGAAGTGTATAAAAAGTTTTATTAGGGTTGTAGGATTCCACTATTAAAAATAATTGGCGATAATCTAATTTTAAGAAGTCACTATTATGCTAACTTCTCTAAAACAAAAAAGAATTTTGATTATTTTTAATAGTGGAGTCCTACAACTCTAATAAAACTTTCAATATACTTCTTTTTTGTTTATTCGCAGTAGCTTTCTTTTTTTAAAAAAGTACTTTAAGGATAGGGGGTATGTTGATTATTTTTCATATGATCTTAGTGTCACAACGTGATTTTTACAAAAATTTGAAATATGCTATTAATAAAACTTTTCACCATTACAATTAATTTTTATCAAATTTTTGTAGTAAATAGATTGGGTTATGTTCTTTATATGGTAAAAATTTTAACAAATAAAATATTTAAAAAAAATATACTTCTATATATTGAAAGTTTTCCGGAGTGAATCCAAATTTTCTGGGGTTACACAAAATAATTAATTTTGATTTGATTGGTTCAAATCATATGATTATCATATGATAAAAAACAATACCTATTCTTTAAATACATATATCTCAATAAATATCTAACCAATTTCAATGATTTTACTATCATTAGAATCAGAAAAATCTATTCTACAACTTTTACTTAATTTTTATAAATAGTTTACTTAATAATCATATGAAAATTGATCAACATGCCCCTATCCTTAAATTGTATAAATAATGTAAAATTAAATTGATTTATACACCCAATCATACGAATGTCTGCCTATGACATATTACTAACAAGGTATAATTCTGAAAGTCTCATTGTATTAAAATAGCATTTAATTAATAATAATAAATTTTAATGACCTGCAATTTCCATTTCAATGAAGATTAAAGCCTATTTTACTGACACACTATTCATTCAAATGGTATATTTTCTGATATTCTATTTTTTTGAAAATATATTATTGAATATACTTTTACCGAAAGATTACCTGAAAAGGTACAGAAATATTTGAGTAAAACTTTCGCAAACTTATTTTATTCAGGACGAAATCCAAAACTTTAACATTACTGAAATTAACTTAAAACCCAAAAAAGTCGATCAACTTTATTCTCTAATTGCTAACTGTATAAAAAAAGACCAAGAATTATCTTTAAAATTTCGTTCTCCTAATGAGACCTATTTTGAAAAAAAACATTCTAATGGCCAAACAATTAATACTTCAGTTATCCCCGAAAATAGTCTACAAGAATGTTTTATAAATTTATAGCTATTTTTACAAATTTTGTGCCACCTAATAACCCGAAAAAAGGTATAAACTAATTTGCCAACAACCATTTCACTGACAGCCATTTCACTGACAAAGTTCACCTGGTTTGTGCTGAGTTGGTCTGATTTATGCAAATTTGCTCAATCAAGAAGACATATCATTGGAAATTTCTTTTTGAGGAATGTCTATTTCGAAGAACTAGAAATATATTAAAATATTTGTTGGTGAAAGGCCTCAGAAAAAATTAGGGTTTGTTGGTAAAAAAAAGTCTGTTGTGTCTGGAAAAAAATTCGGGAAAAAATTTCTATTGAATATATTGCAGAAATATATTTTTTTGGAAAAAAGAGATATCGAAATTATAAAGTCATGGAGATAGTATTTCAGAAAGTGAGTTATTATAATTATAAAAATAAAAATTGGGTTATAAAAGATTTATTTTTACTTTTTTTGGCAATACATTTTTTGAAGTGCTATAGGCAGATTTTGTGATGCACTATTTTTACCTCTGTATGATTTAAGTCTTCACTAATATCTTCATCTATATTATCTGCACTACTATCTACATAATTTTCATAATTCCACTCTTTTACTAGATCTGCTACTAATTTTAAAGAATTGAAATCAAAAACATCCTGTGCTAGTGTATTACTAGTCATTAATTCATTACGTTCAACTTCATCAAATTCTTCACCATAATCAATTTGTGAGTTTTCATTATCACTATTTAATTTATTATCTTGAAAAATCCCATCATTCAAAAATACAAGATTTTCAATATCAAACTGTTTAATAATTTCTAAATTATGCTCAACTTCTTCTTATGTTTCAGGGTCTTCAAATTCATTATTTTTATCAGCTAAAAATGTTGCAGATGTTATTTGTTCTTGCAATTTATTAATTGATAAACTTTTTCCAAAAAAGCTAATTCTTTTTTTATATTTGAGATACAAAAGGACCGAATTTGTGCCATGGCTTGAATTCGGGAAAGAGAAAGCCTTTGTCTACATTTTCATATAGCCAACCCAATAATGAAAAAGTTCTTTCACAATTAGCGGAATGGGAAACAATTGAAAAAATCTTCTTTGCAAGTTGTCCAATTGTTTTAGAACCAGTAGAAGTTGTTGTCTACCATAAAAGAGGTGTATCAGTTTCAAAACAGTAAGGTAGATCAAATCCATTTCCCTCTTTATTTTCTTGAAATCGGCGCATATATGCTACAAGGTTTGTGCATTTATATACATCATGTTGTTCTTCTTTTCAAATTTTAATTGCTATTTTTGCAATTATTTCAAATTGTTGTTCTCATAATCCAACATCTTATAAATTTATATTAATATTTAATTATATAACTTATTATTTAGTTGAATTTTTAAATTATGCTATACCACGATATCCTGGATGCAAAAAATATGCTAATAAATAATTCTTAGTATCAAAATTTTTCTATTTATTATTAATAACATGTATGCAATAATTCTTGAATACATTAATATGGAAGTTTGAAATTTTTTTAATAGCTGCTGCTAATCGAATAAACTGTAAAAAACAATTAGCTAAGGTTGTTGATTGAGCTTCTAAATTTAAAATCATTACTCAAATATAAGCCAAAACCTTAACTAAAATTTTAATATCTATAAAAAAAAATGCCTTTTTCAAAATTTGTTTTACAACGTGATTAGTAATTAAATCCAGATTTTCATTTATAATCTGTATTAATTTTTAATAAATGATTTGTCTAATTAATAAAAACATTAATCAAATTTAGTATCTTACTTTTATAAATGTACGTTCAAGTCGACTAATAGATAATATATATTCATATGTAGAAGTCTATCTTGTATCAACAAATTTTTTTAATCCTCATCCAGAAATTTTTAATTCACTAATTGCTTGTTGTAAATATGCATTTGGTTGATGTGATTTTTTAAAATATTTTATAATTTCATTACAATCTTTTATAAAACGTAAACTAAATGTATACTCTAGAATAAAATTTATATTAATATAAAAGAATTAAATATACAAAATACTTTTTAATACTTACTAAGAATATCTTTAAATATAAGATTAGCACAATGTGCAATACAATTAAAATTTAAGATATTTGGATATTTTTTATAAATTATTTGTCGAGCAAGCTTTATATTACTAGCATTATCAGAGACAATTGCTGCAAATTTGTCATTTTCAATTTCATTTATAATATACTCAATTTTGTCTGCAAGAAAATCAAAAGTATGTGAACTTAAAGAATAATCGCATAATGAATATAAAAATTTAGTATGCATAGGTGTTAAAATAATGAAACAATAAATAGAATTTCCATTAGGTAATGTCCATCCATCTAGTGCTATAAATAATAATAATTTAATATATAATATATTACAAAAAGATAACTATTATTTTTAAATATATTTACCTATTGTTAAATTACTTGATTCTTTAAAAACAGCTTCCTGTTTTATTATAATTTTAGAATGCTCCTGGTTTAACAATTTATTTGCTAATACTCTTCTTGATAGTGGTTGATAACTTGGATACAAACTTTGAAGAAGGTCAATAAAAAAAGGATTCTCAATTACAGAGAATGGAATACCACAAACTACAAAGGCTTTTATTAATGCATTATTTATTAAATTTATCTGTCCATCAGATAAGCCACTACCTTCTTTTTGTGGAAAAAAGCTTGACATAGTAAATTGACGGTTTATTTTTTTTGAAGCTATTAGAATATTAGATTCTACTTCATTAGCCTTATTATAATGAGCTACACGAAGTAAATAAGTTTGTCGAACATGTTTATCTATATAAGAACACTTCAATGCAAGATGGGCTTCTAATTTGGATAGTTTTCCTCTTTGCTAATTAGCAGAGCAAAAGGTACATTTTGCTAAAAAATGCCCATGTGAATTGGTTTTCTTGCACTCAAAAAAATCCCAAACAGGTCTTAAAGTATGTTCTCCTTCATGACCTCTAGAATTTTCAGTTTCAAAATTTCTAGAATCTTCAAGATTTTCGAAATTTTTGAAACCTTCAGGATCTTCAAAACCTCTAGAATTTTTAGGACTTATTTCATTTAATGCACTTAATTCATTTAGGTGAGACATTTTTTTTGTCTAAAAAAATATTCATATGTGTAAAGGTAAATATATGGGGTTATTCATATTAAAAAGGCTCATTTTGCAAATTTTCGAAAAATGAGTTTTTATTAGATTTATGTAAATTTTAACATGACTAACATTTTTCAATTATAAGTGAAAGGCGATTTGCTTAATAAAAAATAGAGATAATATAAAGAAAAATTACACGAAGCTGTCTAAGGCCAAGAATATCACGAGATTACCCGATAGTCACCTGTTACTCTTAACCAATCAAAATCATAAAATTTGCTTAATCCCAGATCAGTCCGAAAATCAAAACAAATTATTAAACTCAATTATTTCAAAATTGTTTATATTGCAAAATGGGCCTTTTTAATATGAATAACCCCATATGATTTTTTTGTATAAAAAAAAAATTTGTATATATAAAATTATATATATTGTTACTAACAAATAACATACTTTCAAGAATATACACAAACTATCAAAAATCAATAAAAAGAGTCAAAATAGATTTAGCAAGACAAGGTGGTTAATATTGGTTTGTTATAAGTATAAAGTATAAAATGAATAACTTAAGAACAAAGAGGAAATATCAACTTTTCATAGAACAAATTTTAAATTATTTTACTAAAACTTGAATTGTTCTACTCTTTTAAAGAGACGAACTACAACCTTATTTATACAAAAAAAAAAAACAAAGAAAGAAAGAAATTCTAATCTTTTCTTTCATCTATCACGCCATCACTCACAATTATTAAAATTCCTTGTACATGTATCAACAACTGACTAACATGACTACACAATTTACCTAATTTGTATCTATTTTTATTTATTTATACTCAGCAACATACCGCCTCATTTAGCCTTTTTGGGCATTGCTTGGGCAGTGTTTTTATTTAGGCACACATTCTATGGTTCTTTCCCTATGCCTTGACCAGAGATCTATTATACCATAGTTTTGGACCATCTTGATATTACCATAATATCTGTATGATTTCTTTACGATTTTGCCCTATTCTTTTATTAAGTGAAGACTTCCTATGGGCTTATCTGCATTGCCCTGGGGCTTATTTGAGTTCAAGAATTCTACATCAAAAGATAAGAGTTTTTTTTTGTTTTATTGGTACTTTTACGATTTCTAATAGTCACATTTCCCATTCCTTATAACATTACAAAATCGTTGATTTTGCTGCTAACAAATACATGCTTCGGCTTCAATAGCAGATAAAGAAGATAGCTCAAGTAATATTATGAAAAACAAGATTTGTACAATACAGCAATATATTATATGAATTAGTTAAAATGATCTTAAAGAATTAGCCAAATAAAACTATTATGGCTAATGAAAATCCTTAAGAATTTGCTATAACGATTAGAATCTCTAACCAATATGACTATTTAAATTATTGTGAAATATATAGCTAATGATTAATGATAAGTAATTCATGCTCATTTTATAACTATAACTTTAGTACCTACCATTGAATATCAGAGGCGTCTTACTATTGTTCAATGGAGCATCGCCTCAAGCCAAACCCAAATTGGCATTTATTAAATTCCTTCATCAATGCTGCTTGAATTCTGTTTTTCGTTGCAACCGGGTTATGTTTCCCTTTCACAGAGTGCGATTAACAAAAGAAATAGAGGAGGTAAAGGACAGTTGAGAAAAAATAGATAGAAAAAATTATGAAACCCTTGGAGAACCCGAAACCCAGCTATGTGTTAAATATAAAACAATTGAAAGTGATGAAAAATTTAGGAAATATCAAGGGAGATATTATTGTATAGGTTGCTTAAGTGATATAATGAATGTGTTAAAGACTATGAAAAACTATCATTAATTATTGGTAAAGTAATATTTAGCCGATAACTAGCATAACCTTATTTTCGATGAAGTGATTTGAGACAAAGAAAAATTTGGGGAATTACACTTCACCGAGTTTTATTCATAAAAGTAAATTGCGAATTGCCTCTAATGGAAGAAAGGGAAATGCTTCGCGGGGACCAAGCACTGGGTTTAGCACGGGGTCAATTTACTAAAATGGAGGAATTAAGTAAAACTTGAAAATATGATTTAATAATTGACACTAGCCAAGCAAGCCCTTTTGCCAATGTGAAAAAATTTTTGGAATTTATAAATAAAAAAAACATTTAAACTTTTAGTGAGCAAATGCCGAAAAAAATAAAAAGTCAACCTGGAAAATATTATACTAGTGTTATCCTGTACAGAAACACTGAAAAAAAGGCATTAAAATATTTTGTCAAAGATAATTTTTGAACCCAGAAATTCATCATTACTGCTTCGTCAAAGTTTTTAAGCAATTTTCAGCCCAGTCACAATGTATTTGTAATTGGGTTATTGACAAAAGAGCAAAAAAAAATAGTGGGTAAGACTGTTTTAGATGAGTTTGCCTGCGGAAGAACCAGGCTTCATGCTGCAAAGTATATTTGGAAGCCCGATGACAGGTTTCTCTTAAACATGCTCATATACCAAATTTATCATTTAGTCATAAGTTGCGTCATTTTCATGAGTTGTGTTATGCATCACGTCATGCGTTATGGGTTGTGTCATGTGTCATTTCGTCAATTTGAAGTACCCTGACGAAATGGTTTCATTATGCGTCAATGATGCAAGTTGCGTCATGCGTTACCTATCATTAATGGTTATATATATGTTTTTTAGAAAATTGTATTATTAAGTGTATAACCAAAAGTGATGTAAAAAAAATAGGGTGATACTTTACTGAAACTTAAAAAAAATTATATATATTTTTATAATAAGATAATAATGTTTTTAATATATAATAAATAT